ATGGACCATGTATCGATTCTGACACTAGAGAATGGAGGATACGCCACAATGATGAACTAAAGAACTTATTTCAAAAACCAGACATTATATCCGAAATTAATAGGAGAAGATTAATGTGGGCTGGACATGCCTGGAGGAAAGAGAGCTCTTATTAAAGAAAATCCGACTGGGAAAAGACCGTTAGGAAGACCACGCTTACGATGGGAGTATCGTATCAAAAAGGATGTTAAAGCAGTAGAACCAAATACACAGTGAAGAGAAGCTGCAGAGGATAGGGAAAGATGGTGACAAATTTGTTTGCAGGGATGGTCTTGAAGGCCGTAACCCAAAAAAAATAAAAAAATAAAAAAATTTACCCTAGTTATTCTTTACTAAAAAACGCTAAACAAGATTGTTATTACAATAAAAATCATGAAAGAAATTGTGAACTTCTATAAATATCCACACATCACCTCCAATAACAGTATGTGGTGTAAATGATTTTAAAAAACTAATAGATAATCTGAAACTCGAAGAAACTGAGGGACACGAGTTTCGAAGAACTATAAAGTATTACAAGAACAAAAAGTCGAGTACCACAGATACCAACTTAAAACAGAGAAAAAGTTCTGAGCGGTAGTTCGTAGAAGACACCTTGAAACCGACCTTAGCGACATTAAAAATTAACTATCCGAATTGGGACATCTTGTACATAATATTACGAACATCCAAATTTAAAAAAAAAGTTTACCCTAACAACAAGGAAAGTGATTTTATTTTTGTGAGGCTTCCACTATTCTTCGTTGATCTAGAGCCACAAGCAAATAACAAACACATCTATGATCTTGAAAATTTGTGTTGTCACAAAATCAACGTGGAACCTCCATTAAAAAAATAGGTATGCGCAAAATGTGCAAATTATGGAGAAGATCACACTTTAAATTGGAAAGGATGTTCCACTTATAAAAAAATAGAAAGAAAATGCTCAACCAAAAAAAATTTCAGGAGCAGAAAGAATACAACAAAATCCTACAAAACTAGTCACTCTAAATTTTTCTTTTACACAGTTGGCAAAACCTTCGAAGGACAAACACAAGGATCCACAAACTCAAATTCATACACAACAGGAAAAAATTTTCCATCTACGTTTTTTTGTTCGTTTTTTCGCAGTCGTCAATCGCCGGTTTTACGTTTAAGGCTCTAATAGCCAATAGCGGTAGCATTCAAGAGTTCTAATAGTCAATATTGGTAGTATTCAAGGATTCTAATAGCCAATATTGGTAGCATTCAAGGGCTCCAATAGCCCTCTCTCAAAGATTTCACTTCCTACTTGTGTACAAACGATCATTACGTGTATAACTTTAAAATATGAGTTCAGACGACGAGTGTATTAGTCCTCTCAAAAGAAAAAGAGGTATTTCTAACAGTGATAAATATAAAAGAAATATTATTAAGCAAGCAAAAATCGAAGGGAAAAAATATACAAACTGGATTGTAAAAATAGTTGCTGTAAAGAATGATCCTTCATTAATACTTCTTAAAGAATGGTAATTATATAATATTTAGTTGGTTTTATTCGCTATTAATAAGTAGTAGCTTTTATATTTTTACATTAATATTTTCGATTTATAGTTGTTCAAAAAAATGTCTCAAAGATATTCAACAAGAAAAACTTGAAGATATAATGAAAATGTTTTATGAGTTGCGTTCTAAAAATGAACAAGACCTTCATCTTCAACGAACAATAGAAATAAAAGAAATTACAAGAAAACGAAAACGAATAGAAACAGAAGGAAAAGAAAAACCAAAATCCAAAAGTATTCAGTATTTTTTAATAGTAGATGGACAGCGTATTCACGTATGTAAGAAAGCTTTCATTAACGTTTATAATATTTCTAATAAAAAAATTAGACGGCTGGTCGATTTGTCAGAAAATAATA